GTCGCATGTTCAACTGGCTTTTTTGCTCGATTTTAAGGCTCTTTTTCAATGATTTCCGAACGTTTACTTAGACGAAAATATCAGCCAAATAGCCCTTGGAATGGCTACAGATGTAAGGAAATGGCGGATAATTTTCTTGCCCCCCCCCAAAAAAAAACAAAAAAACCTTCTTAGCGGCGTGCCCCGTCTCCGCGGTCAGTGCACTCGTTTTGCTGCCCCCCCCCCCTTTTTCAAAATTCCTAGATCCTCCCTAACATTCATCGGGCCTAAGATTGGGGCCATTATATTTTTCAATAGATGTGAAGACGAATTTCAGCTAATTTGAAGAAAAAAGTATGTCATATTATATTTTTTTCAATTGGGGCTGGTGGGCCCCTGACCTGGGCCCCTAGTAACTGCAATGTTTATCATTAGAACAACTTGCCCTGGGGCACTTGAGGAAAAAGTGTCAGAGTTTGACACAAATATCAAACGACCTAGTTTGTGTCGAGTGGACGTTAAACCCCATCTCTCTCTCTCTCTCTCTCTCTCTCTCTCTCTCTGGAGGTCGGGAGTTCGATCCCTGCATTGGCCGATAAAGTTCATCCAGATTTTCCGGCGTGATTTCTCCTTGTCAGTGATGCAGGACGGAGGACCTGACAAGGACAGCTGTCTAGTCGTTCGGATGGGACGGAAACCGAGGTCCCGTGTACACATTGGCGTGCACGTAAAAGATCCCTTGGCAGTTGGAATTCGATATAAGAGTATAGGCCGTAGCGCCGCTGCCCGGACAAAATTTCCCTCATAGCACACTGTATGGCGTATGCCCGTCTTCAATAGCCCAGTTTAGGAGCAGAACAGTGGAACGTTAAGCCCCATTTCATTTCATTTCAATTCATCTCTCTCTCTCTCGCTCTCTCTCTCGCTCGCTCTCTCTCTCTCTCCTCCATGTAAGGAAAGTAAGTCCCTTGGGTAGTTAAGTGCTTTGTGGTTGCTAACTATGCTCATATTCAGATCTCCAGGAATTAATCACAATCCCTCAACCAAGCATCAAGGTATAGTGAGTGTGTCACGAATCAATATACGTCGAATCAACTCTAGTATGCGCCACCGACTCCTAACCAACAACTTCCATTCCAAGACCCCAGCACACCTTTGGTTTTGGCGATAGCTCAGGAACGAAGAGTCGCGAGCTGAAAAATCATAACACAACATTGGAACCAAAAATCAGTTTTAGCCTGTGTCGGGTCAACAAGTTTTTCATAAAAGTTTATAGCTCAGCAGGAACAAAAGGTCGCGGGGTGCTGAAAATCGAAAGGGGTCGCCAGCTTTAACTCAATTTGGAAAAAAGGCAGCTAACGACTGTATATATAGCTTCAATCGCGTTCACGAACCAATTGTTTGCGGACGTATACGGACGATGATATTGAAACATAAGCATGCAATTTCTATACTATTTATTTTGTCAGTAATGGTTTACTCCGATGCTTCTAATTTTGGATATTTCTCAATGCTGCATCTACTTCACCCACAGTTTCCACAGCTTCGCTCCTGATACCAATCAACTCGTTTACTATCATTGATTTATTTCCGCCTTCTAAAAAATACAGTAATACATTGGGATTAGTGGAAGCCTAGTTACGAAGGATATCAGAAACAGAATATCCATAGCATTGAAATAATTGCACTATAGTCCTACATAATGGATCTAAAGGACTGGCAAAACGTTGGGTCAGTGAGAAAACACTGGCTCACTTAAGTTCATTTCGGGTTTTCCCCTTATCAGTGGTACAGGACAAAGGCTCGACCAAGACAACGTCTATGCGGTCGGATGGGATTAAAAACCAAGGTCCAGTGTACATGTTTGCGCCCGCGTAAACGAATTCTTGACGGTTTGAATTCGAAATAAGAGTAGGTCGTAGCGCCGCTATCCGTGCAACATTGTCCTCGTAGCACACAGCATGGCGTAGGCCCGTTTTCATTAACGGACCGCAGCAGAAAAGTAGGACGTTAAAGCCCATTTCTTTTAATTTTTTTTTGCCATCGGCAACCCACCCACTAGCAATCAACTTTAGTGAATACGAACGAATTCAAACTAAAGCCCTCTTTAGTGAGAGCAGAATGAAAGAGCAATTTAATAATTCAGGTTCTTATCACACCATAAACTCTTGATCAGGCTTATTCGATTGTCTCGATTGGACGGTGGAGCTGAATATTTTTATATCCATTTCCATCGACCTCATATGTATTCAAACTATTAACCCTATTTGTTTTTCAAAGATATATCAAACTCATTATGGTGGAAGGGCTAATTATTGGAGAAGTCGTCTTACGAATTACCATAATGGTTGTCTCAAATTATTGTGTTAGACCTAATAATAGCATCCCATTTCATGTCACAGGTTAATTAGCAAAGGCCAAAGTGGGCTACATCCAGTCCATGTCAACTAACATGGCAATGATTCAGAAAGAAAGGCATGGTGGTAGCCTTTTCGTTCTGTGAACAAAGCAGGGTATGGTTACCCTTTCTACGACCCCTAATACAGCGTAGTGTGGTGTAATATATTATACCTTGAGTTATGGAGTTGCCACCATTATTGCAGGATAATGTTGTGACATAGTTGTTACAAGTTCTACTATCTTCAGCGCTACATTCCATTAAACTGGCTTCATAACCATTACATCTATATCTTTTATTTATACGTGAACGATGAACATTGAAATTGTTTCCTGGAAGGATTCGTCCACCAGATGGAAAACCCAATTCTCTACAAACAACATTGACAGCATTTTGATCAAAGTCATCGGCACAGACTGTTTTATAATCATTCCCTTCATTAACCAGCAGAGCACCAGATGAATTGCTGAATTTAGAACTAAGACGAACTGAAATAAACCAATTAGAGATTAAATAAGATCAATACCAGCGTCCAGTTACCCGTGTACCTTAGTCAGACGTCGTGTACACAGAAGAACATAAGAAATTAATATAATTTAACTGAATATATTTCCCTACCTGAGCCATAACAGTAAATGCCGGGGTTATTGTAGCAGGAATTTGCTTCATAAGTCCAATTTCGATGTTCACATAAATCTAGAACTGGTTCATTATTACGACAACTGAAATAATTTTTCCAATATCCTCCTGTTATATTAGCAAAACGTGGATTATTATATCTTTCGCCTTGTTTATATCCTAACTGTTTACATATCCGAGTGGCTTTTGAGTCGTAGAGACCGTAATCATCACAAAGATAATTCCAGGTATTGTTGTATTTCACCTGTACACGACCATTATTAGATTTATCACCATCAACCAGTCTGTATTCATTTACTGAAAAATAAAAATGACACTGCATTACATACTTTTAATTAATCCTCTGTATTTTAATGATGAAATGTACGTGACAAGGAGTAGGGTCGCCCGTCCATCCTCGTGGGTTTTATCTGGGTCCTCTGCCCCCCCCCCCCCCTGCTAAAGATACCTACGAGCAAGCGCATTATTGAAATAAAATTAAACCATATATGTAAGTCCTAAAATGACAGAGTTTGTGTCGAGTTTACGTTAAACCCCATTTCTCTCTCTTGAATGATGAAATGGGGTTTAGCATCTCATTTACTACACCGACTATATACATTTTAAACATAGCTCTAGTTTATCGCTATAAATAAAATCATACTATAATTTCTTACTGCCTCCGCCGCATGGAGGGGGCTATATGGCCGAATGGTTAGCGCGCTGCATCATGAGTCATCTGGCGTGCTTTCGATTCCCCGATAGTACGTGAGAAGGAGTCGGGTCGCATGTCCAACCTCGTAGGTTTTCTCCGGGTCCCCCGTTTCCCCGCTAACAATAACTTATAAAGAGATAATAATATTTGTCCCCCGCCTTTCGAAGAAATGGGTTCGTCTGTCTGTCTGTCTGTCTGTCTGTCCGTCCGCCTGTCTGTCCGTCACACTTTTTGGGACACAATAACTCTGCTTCTAATTGACCTAGAATGTTCAAACTTGGTGTAGGTGTTTATTAGGTCAATGCCTTGATGGAGTTCGAAGATGAGCATTTTCTGCTTAGGGTAAGCAGAGATCAGCAATTTGATTGGTTGATGCTTTGGGACACGATAACTGTAGTTCTAATTAAGTGGGAGTGATGAAACTTGGTGTATAGTTTCATTACATCAATACCTTGACTAAGTTGGATATTGAGCATTTTCTACTCAGGGTAGGCAGAGCGATAAGCAATTTGATTGGCCGAGACTTTGGAACACAATAACTCGCCTTCTAATTGAGCTAGAATGTTCAAACTTGGTGTAGGTGTTTATGAGGTCAATGTCTTGATAGAGTCGAAGATGAGCATTTTCTGCTTATAGTTAGTAGAGATAAGCAATTTGATTGGTTGATGCTTTGGGACACGATAACTTTAGTTCTAATTAAGTGAGAGTGATGAAACTTGGTGTATAGTTTCATTACATCAATACCTTGACTAAGTTCGATGTTGAGAATTGTCTGCTTAGGCTAAGGAGCAATAAGCATTTTGATTGGTCAAGACTTTTAAACATAACAACTCTGCTTCTAATTGAGGTAGAATGTTTAAACTTGATGTAGATGTTAGTCTTGACTAGTCTTGACTGAGTTCAATGATTCACATATCGAGCTAAAGCTAAGCAGAGATAAGCAATTTCCTTATTGATGAAACTTAATGTATAGTTGATAATCAGTTTGCTCGATACTTTTGAAAAAAATAGATGTGCGATTAATTAATATGTGTCATCTATTTATTTGGGAATTTCGGCGGGGGACATCAGCCTCACTGTTGGCTTGTACGACTTTGGTTTGTTTATAGGTCTGTCAGAATAAACCATAACTATCGTTTATAATATAAATAGATATAGAATTAATTCCAACCAAATAATACAGGTATTTTTATTTTATGTTTCTTGTGTTTTGTAAACTCTTTTGTATGATTGGATCCTATATTCATGTGGTTTGTCTGTTTGTGCCACCCTGTTTTTAGATAATATAACTTATGATTTTAATGGTGAAAGTTTCTGAAGTTCGGAAAAGTCTGAATATTAATGTCCAGAGCGAAAACACAGGAAGCTTGTGGCCAAGGATATTCGCAACATAACAAGGCGTAGTGCCATACCAGATACATTCGGTATTTTGTCTGTCTTGTTATTCCACATTTGTGGACTAAAAAGGCAAAAATAAAATAAAAAAACTTACAATCGTCATCATTGTAACAGTATACTCTAGCATCTGAATGAGAACTACTACAGTAAATATTGTTATTATTCAATTCTGTGGCTTGACAGGACTTCAAACTGGTTTCAGTACCATTACATTCCATAGCATACAGCCACATAGGCTTAGATCTTTCTCCATAATAGTCATATGAGTAGCTATGTTGATAGCCAGCCTCTCTACATGCAACTTGGCTTTCTTCCTCACCCCAACTATCTGAGCAGATTGTACCCCATATACCATGGTAATAAACTAAAACTTGACCATCAGAAGTCATCATAGTGTCTCCATCTTGATCTGAAACAAGACATTGTTAATTTATTATGGTGAAACTGGAATTTAACAACTTATACTTTGAGCTTAATTCTGGAAAATGATTGATTTTAACAAATAAGAATTTTAAGTATTTCAGGTGATAAATTCTTTGTTTTTGTATATTTATGCGTATGTATTACGGTGGATGGGGTCTTCACCGCCATGAATCGAGGTATATATCAAAAATGTAAATAGTCTTTAAATAAACTACTGACAGTGAATAATAAAATATTTTCCCGCATGCGCCTCGATTCAAAATGACCAAAGACACGAGACATGCATATATCACCCGTGCAACAGTTGAGTTACGGACGGAAATAGGTCAACAAGACGGTGATTACCGTTATAATTTTTTATGTCATACAAATTTTAAAGGCTATGGCATAGTCATATAGAATTATATGACTTTGTGAGGCATTTTTTTTATCAATGGCACTTACGCGCACTAAGGGCAATTACGAACGAATTGTTGAAATTTCGATAGCTTTATATAATGCGATATGTATATGACAGTACCACAAAAAAATAATGATTACCAAATTCACTGGACGAACTCTCCATCATCTTGTTTTGCTTTCTTTGCTTAATCAATGAAACTTTTGCTTTTGAAAGTCTGTTTATCTCTCCTTTATATTGGAAGTCATTTAAATGAAGGTGAGATGTCTTTGTTTTTGATTGGCTGAATCGAGGGTCAAGTGGGTAAAAACTGAACCAAGGGAGTCCCAGATTTGTACAAAGACTATACATTATCATATTATCTGTAATATAATTATTTTAAGCAGTATTCTAGAACAGGACGGTGTATACCAAAACATCGAATTGGCGGTTTATCATGTGCGTATTATAAAGTATTCTACCTTGAACAGCGTTATTGCACGTCACTTCTCCATTACTGCAAAATAATGTTGTAACATAGTTGCTACAAGTTCTACTATCTTCAGCGCTACATTCCATTAAACTGGCTTCATAACCATTACATTTATATCTTTTATTTATACGTGAACGATGAACATTGAAATTGTTTCCTGGAAGGATTCGTCCACCAGATGGAAACCCCAATTCTCTACAAACAACATTGACAGCATTTTGATCAAAGTCATCGCCACAGACTGTTTTATAATCATTTCCTTCATTAACCAGTAGAGCACCAGATGAATTGCTGAACTTAGAACTAAGACGAACTGAAATAAACCAATTAGAGATTAAATAGTATTATCAATACCAGCGTCCAGTTACCGGTGTACCTTGGTCACACATATATCGTGTATAATCGTGTATATTTGTTAGTATACTCGTAACACAGAAGAACATAAGAAATTAATATAATTTAACTGAATATATTTCCCTACCTGAGTCATAACAGTAAATGCCGGGGTTATTGTAGCAGGAATTCGCTTCATAAGTCCAATTTCGATGTTCACATAAATCTAGAACTGGTTCATTATTACGACAACTGAAATAATTTTTCCAATATCCTCCTGTTATATTAGCAAAACGTGGATTATTATATCTTTCGCCTTGTTTATATCCTAACTGTTTACATATCCGAGTGGCTTTTGAGTCGTAGAGACCGTAATCATCACAAAGATAATTCCAGGTATTGTTGTATTTCACCTGTACACGACCATTATTAGATTTATCACCACCAACCAGTCTGTATTCATTTACTGAAAAATAGTTTAGGCTAATGATGAATTTAATAACTAAAGATCGCTTATCATTTAAAAAAATATATAATTACTTAGTTTATTTATAGAGCTACCGAATTAAAGTATATCGTTTAAAATGTATGCTCAGAATCTCAATCAGGTAATGTGGAGATTTTTTTTTCTATTCTCCTCGCGTTTTCTGAATTTTAAACGCATTTGTAAGTTTCAAGATCTTGACTAAATGCCAATCATATTCATACCAGATATAATACTATTTTTTGTAGGTTATCCCATCTGTGTTCTGCTTAGTGTGTCGGGGTAGACATAGCGGGGGCGTGGTGACCCATGATCTGGCATGCGGAACAAGATCCCGTCCCGGTCCAAAAAAAACAATATTTATATGTGCGTGCGGGGGAGGGGGTGGGGTCGCAGTTCCCCAGTGCCACCGGGTAATAATGGGCTGTGTGGAACATTGCTAGATTCGATTTGTAGCATATCTGACCCACAGTATATGTTTGTCACTGGTTGAGCATTATGATTATAATTATAATGTTGAAAACAGCATTGATACCGCATGATTGTTTTTTCCTATTTGCGAGAGGCGTAAAAATTCAAGGTGGAGCAAAAACACCAATCAAAAAAAATTCGCCAATGGGCGAAAGGAAGTAACTCGCATTTTATTGCAACTAAGATCGCCGAATCGTTTTGTGTGCATGCCACTTCTTTGATATTCTCATAATCGAGCGTACTTAAGCTGTTTATTGCGTTGACAGTAAACAATGACACTGAGACCTGTATATAAATTGTTTTTTTTAATGGTTCGTAAAATCAACCTGCGATCAAGGGCAGATAATATAAATTCGTGAAAAAACACGTGAATGGATCCAGTGGTTAGTGGAGTAGAACGGAATGATACCACTGGGGATACCGAGGATGGTATATCTTATAAGAAGATATTAGAACACCACATAATTCAAACGCACACAACGTGAAGTTCAGAGAAGTCAGAACATTGTAGTCCAAAGAGCAGACACAGGAAGCCCGTGACCAAGGATAGTCACAATGTAACACAGGGTAGCGCCAAACCACATACATTCGGTATTGTTTTTGCCTTTTTAGATTTAAAAGGAAAGATAAATTAAACTCACAATCGTCATCATTATAACAGTATACTCTAACGCCTGAATGAGAACTACCACAGAAATTATTGTTATTATTCAATTCTGTGGCTTGACAGGACTTCAAACTGGTTTCAGTACCATTACATTCCATAGCATACAGCCACATAGGCTTAGACCTTTCTCCATAATAGTCATATGAGTAGCCATGTTGATAGCCAGCCTCTCTACATGCAACTTGGCTTTCTTCCTCACCCCAACTATCTGAGCAGATTGTACCCCATATACCATTGTAATAAACCAACACTTGACCATCAGAACTCATCATAGTATCCCCATCTTGACCTGAAAGAAAATTTATAATTTCGCACTATCTGCAACCTAATTTTAATGAGTGCGTGTATGCATCCGACGATTTGTTTATTCGTTTTTATGTATACACTGGAAAATTCTACTTAGTATTCTACCTTAATTTTCACCATTACAATGCTTACCCTCTCTAGAACCCCTGATAACACTTTTTATATATTGAGTTTATATAGCTAAATGTATGTCTCATCGAAGAGAAATTTAAAAGATATTTAGACGATGTCTTTCTCATTAGGAAAACTAATCTTGGCCGCATAGCAGATTTGCACAAACTTTTAAAGATACATTAGTTAAGATTTTTATAAAGAGTTTGCCATTCTTGCTATAATAATTAAAAAAAATATATGATAAAAAAACAAAACGTTGAAAATTTCAGTCAAATTACTTTGTTCTGAACGGAATTGTCACTATTGGAAGTTTTCACTAAAAAATATGCATCAATTGTGTCTGCACCGTCTTTGAGAATTGGCGATCGTTTGATTGACAGACGATAACTACACCCACATATTCTTGATAATCAAGTAACATGCTCAATGTTGGCCTTTCGTCACCAGTTTCGGGTAGTAACATCAGCGACTGACTGTAAACGTTAGCTTGGTCCGCCATTTATTCATTTAATTTTAAATGTACGACTGTTTAAATCCAAACTGTATCCAAGGCATGCGTGGTTCTACAGAGTTGATTTTGAGCTTGTCGTGTAGCCCCGATCATCATTACTAAATTCGGTACGATAAAAACATAGTCTCGATTATCCAGTTCATGATTTAATTATGAATGAAAGTTGAGCAGCAAATCGGATCCTAATCCAGTAAATATCGCAGGCCAGGAAGACTATGTAAATTAATGTCATGTTAGTATTATATACTTTTAACCTTTCTTGTACGTTACCTAATATTATTTATAATCCATTGTCATGGAAATCTATTATTCTAAGAATTAATATGTATATATGTATGGTATTTTCAATATTTTGTATACATTATTAATATCTGAGACGCCGATAGAGGGCAGACAGCTAGCTTATATGATTTAATGTATTTCAGAATGAAGTAAAGTGGATAATATTTTACCTGGACGTAATGGTGTAACATAGCTGTTACGAGTTCTACTGTCTTCAGCGCTACATTCCATTAAACTGGCTTCATAACTATTACATTTATATTAGCAGTCAACTTGAATACGGACAAATTCAAACTTAACAATCCAGAGCCCTGTTTCTCGAAATCCTAACTAAAGATAAAATCTAAATTTGAGTAAATACTTTAATTTTGATTGGCTAAGCACTAAAATCAATCTAATATTATCCAATCAAATTACTAAAATTTAGATTTTATCTTAGATAAATTTCCGTGAAATATCCTCCTGGTTCTTATCACACCATAAACTCTTGAACAGGCCTATTCGACGGGGGAGTTGATTATTTTTATATCCATTTCCAATGTATTCAAACTATTAAGCCTTTTGTTTACAAAAGATATGATATCAAACTCATTATGGTGGAAGGGCTAATGATTGGGAAAATTGAAAATTATAAGATTCATTTCATATTTTACATATATGTATGTGATAGATACAGGGTAGTGTGAGGTGAAGCCAAGAGTTACATCCATGGTGTTCACATTGGCTTGTGCATAAAAACAAAAATCCCTGACAGTTCGAAACGACAGTCAAAATTCAACTACCTCGTCTTACGAATTTCTATATGGTTGTCCCAAAATGACCTAAGTATTGTGTTAAACCTAGTAATAGCATCCCATTCCATGTCACAGGTAATTAGCAAAGGCGACGGTGGGCTACACCCAGTCATTGTCAACTAACATGGCAGTGATTCAGAAAGAAAGGTATGGTGGTAGCCTTTTCGTTCTCGTATAAGCAATTCGGTGTGAACAAATCAGGGTATGGTTACTCTTTCTAGGACCCCTGATACAGAGTATTTTGGTGTAATATATTATACCTTGAGTTATGGAGTTGCCACCATTATTGCAGGATAATGTTGTGACATAGTTGTTACAAGTTCTCCTATCTTCAGCGCTACATTCCATTAAACTGGCTTCATAACCATTACATCTATATCTTTTATTTATACGTGAACGATGAACATTGAAATTGTTTCCTGGAAGGATTCGTCCACCAGATGGAAAACCCAATTCTCTACAAACAACATTGACAGCATTTTGATCAAAGTCATCGGCACAGACTGTTTTATAATCATTCCCTTCATTAACCAGCAGAGCACCAGATGAATTGCTGAATTTAGAACTAAGACGAACTGAAATAAACCAATTAGAGATTAAATAAGATCAATACCAGCGTCCAGTTACCCGTGTACCTTAGTCAGACGTCGTGTACACAGAAGAACATAAGAAATTAATATAATTTAACTGAATATATTTCCCTACCTGAGTCATAACAGTAAATGCCGGGGTTATTGTAGCAGGAATTTGCTTCATAAGTCCAATTTCGATGTTCACATAAATCTAGAACTGGTTCATTATTACGACAACTAAAATAATTTTTCCAATATCCTCCTGTTATATTAGCAAAACGTGGATTATTATATCTTTCGCCTTGTTTATATCCTAACTGTTTACATATCCGAGTGGCTTTTGAGTCGTAGAGACCGTAATCATCACAAAGATAATTCCAGGTATTGTTGTATTTCACCTGTACACGACCATTATTAGTTTTATCACCACCAACCAGTCTGTATTCATTTACTGAAATTTTAAAATGAGTCTGTTCACATGTAGTTATATTTGTCAATGGTTATTAATTAGCATTATATTAATTTATATGTAAAAGCTATTAAACAAATAAGAAAATATTTGAACTGAAATGAAATGGGGTTTAACACCTACCCCGACTGGTCTAATAATGATGGTGCATACTCCATGCTTGCTATGATGAAATTCCAACTGTCAGGGGATCTTTTACCTGTACGCCAATGTATACACGAGATCTCGTTTTTTGGGGTTCTATCAGATCGACTATACGTCGTCCCTTGCCAGACCCTCTGTTCTGCACCACTGACAAGGATGAAGCACTCGGAAAACCAACGTCCCGTAGATACATTTGCGTGCACGTAAAAAAAATCCTTGACAGTTGGAATTTGATTAGAGAGTAGACCATAATGTCGCTGCTCGGGCAAAAGTTTCATCATAGCATGTATGGCGTATTCCCGAGTTCATTATCCCAGTTGGTTATAAAGTACATAAAATGTTAGTAAGCTATGTTAGTAAGTTAGTATGTTAGTATTGGCGTCGATGGAAGCCAGTTTGAATTCAATTGAATTTTTAAAAATATCTACATAATCATGCTAACGAACCCTTGTTATAATTGTGAATCAGGTTATTCATATAAGTATAGCTGCGTTTTGATTGGAAAACAATTTTTTACAATAATATGTCAGAATATTGTCTTCATAATCAATATTGATATTTAATTAATATTCCGTGTTCTGCATTTTTAACTTATAAATTAATGGACGTAATTGGAACAAAATAAAAACTTACAATCGTCATCATTATAACAGTACACTCTAACACCACCTGAATTACCACAATAATTATTGCTGTTGAATTCTGTGGCTTGACAGGACTTCAAACTGGTTTCAGTACCATTACAATCCATAGCATACAGCCACATAGGTTTAGATCTTTCTCCATAATAGTCATATGAGTAGCCACGTTGATAGCCAGCCTCTCTACACGCAACTTGGCTTTCTTCCTCACCCCAACTATCTGAGCAGATTGTACCCGTTATACCATTGTAATAGACCAAAACCTGACCATCAGAATTCATCATAGTGTCTCCATCTTGATCAGAAATGATCATTGTATCCCCGTTCCCATCTAAAAAAAAAAGGGATTATCTTTGGCCTAGTGATTAATGCATATTATATAACATTAACTATGTAATCTCGTTAGGCAATAAATAGTTAACGACAAGATTTAGTGGTTGAATTAATTTTAAATTGTCCGGTCCCCCACCCCCACCCATTTGAGAACTTGGAGACATAAAAGATTCACGTACTGATTGACATTCACCATCGTTATACCAGCCTTGCGAACAAATTTACTAAGATACAAATTTGCTCGTCTTGGGAATCGATAGTGACGTGTGTCTATCCTAAAGGTAAAGTCTACTGCTTTTTAAGTGTTCACCAACCGACGAAATGATAGATGTCAAAGGTTTTATTGCAGTTTCTAAGAAGATACACATCAAAGTAATTGCTATTATGTACACAACAAGATATTGATTATCAATTAAAAGTATGTGTTGCAAATGATCAAAAAGTAATGTTTATTATGCAATCAAAGAATCAACAAATGTTTATTAATCCGATTTATATATAAGAGCAATGTTTTTAAAGATCAATATAAAATAATTGAACTTACCACTGCGTTTCAATCGTTTTGAAATTTGCTTTTCTCCATCCTGAAATTAGATTTATTATAGTTATGCTCCTCTATATCTATGCACGAGAAGATATTCGCGACTTTAATCTTTAAACGCAACGTTTCAGCCATCAAATCTCAAACACAGTTTGGAATGGTTTGCTGACATTTAAATCAAGACAGAAACGCAATGCCCATTACTTTAAGAAACTTAAAGGGTAGTATATACAGACAGAGAAAGTGTCCTTAACATTTTAAAACATCTACTGTTTTGAAGAGGAACTGTTTACTCAATTGGATGTCAACTAGTGCAGTCGGTTCCTGCTCCATGTCCCAGGTGGCCGGTCGAGAGTTTGGAGGCATAAACACGCGCCTATATACCCAAGAACACAATACCTACGACACCGTATGGCTGGGATTCAATAATGGGTGGGGCTGTCGGTCACATGATTGTAGGCAGCAGACTTGTGTACACGGATGACAACGCTAGGTCACATCGTTCTTGAGCAGTAACAGCTTTTCTCCAAAATTATCTTTGGACGTCGAGTACAGGCACTGAATTCATCAGTATAAACTCTTGCCCATTCAGCAAATCAGACGACTGTGGGATGAGATAAAGGATGGAAGTTGTCATTCCGGCACGATGTGGGTTTACCCACGTTGTTTACCCGCTATTGATCATTGGTTTCATCAATGCCATCTGACTCTGCACCTCCATTCTTATTGTGACTCCTTTTTTTGCTCAATTACGGCATCTTGGAATTCCTTTCAGAATCAAAATTAAAATTTCAAAACCACATTTGTTTTTCCAAGGTTATATTATCAGGGTTCCAGCACTGAACCTCGTCAGACACGTAATGGTAAAAATTACATGGGATCATTTTCACCCCAAACGAACTAAACTACTGTGTGTTTGAAGGGTATTCATTATCTCGAGGATTCTGTAATATATTCGACGTTTATATTCCCAATATAATAATACTCTCTACAATATATTAATGGTTTATTTATCTATAACAACATGTGTACACAATGCCAATATTGTTCATGCGGTAAGAAATTAATGTCTAAAATGGCCCTTTCTTAAATAATCAACCATTAATAATAACCTCCAAGCATCATTCGTACCACATCCATTCATAGGTGATAAAAAGAAGTCCAGATTTGCCCCTTTAAGGTGTCCTGTCCCTACCCGTATATATTTATATTTAACCCCATCTGAAATTTAAATGTGTTCCATAAAGCTGTCTCTTGTTTGGTCAAATCATTTGTAATAGCGATACCAGTAAATAGTTAATTACCTTAAACTCGACGGTTTTACCACCAGTCACAGGATTCAATACAAGAAATACCAGTAGTAGCTTTGTGAACATTTTGATAGCCAACCTATTCACAAATACAATTCTACAGATAAATAATACATAATTTATACTTTTCTTCTAACGACTCCAAATCGATTATGTCGACAGAATCATATAAAATACCTCAATTAATGACAGGTGATTTAATATTAATATCTAAATTCATGTTTAAAACAAATTTCTAGAACCACAATATACAATCAGCTGCTTAGGTGTGCCGAGTAAGGTATTTTTCAAATAATAACATTTGCCTAATATATTTGGTCACCAGTGGATTTTTTTATATCTTAATTTAATAGAATTTGTCGTATTTAGCCAGTATGCTTTAATTATTTACTCAGGGTAATGTTGTGAAATAATTGGTAATTATTAACCATACTTAGTACTCATAATAATAATAATAATACAAAATAATAATGTACGTTTGTAGAGCGCCAAATATATCCAAAAGCATGATCAAGGCGCAATGAGACAGAAAGTCTAATTCTCATAGAATACCCGAAATAAGTGAGTTTTCAGCTGTGATTTGAAAGTAGTCAAGAATGTTCTGGTTAAACGATTTCGTAGACACTGGTAATGTTAGGCATAGGACCTTAAAGTTAATGCGAGCTGGAATTGGGAGCCAATGTAAAAAAAATTAGAATAGGTGTTATGTGAGATGATGATTTGGTTTGTGGTATGATTCTGGCTGCTGTAATCTGTATTTTATGTAGCTTGTAGAGACTGGTTTGATTAATCCCAGATAGCAAACTGTTACAATAGTCTATTCTAGAGAACTAGTGACCGTACTAGAGATTTGGCGGCGTCAATCGTGACGGGGTGTCGAATATCACTGATGCGCCGCAAATTCAAGTAACAGGACTGATGACAAACCAGGATCTAGATAAATACCAAGATCCTTCACAGCACTATGTAACTGATGGACCGAATCCCAAATTTTAACATTTATTTGAGATATGTTCCGAAGGCGTTTATTATGGTCACGATGCGTCATTTTAGCACAACAAGAATCACTTGCAATTTATACAATATTGTGAAAGATGAATCTCTATTTGGAATATCAGTCCAAAAGGGTTTAATTCCGTTCAGTATTTACAAAGACAATATGGAATTGAATAAGCCCACCACCAATTTTTTATCCGTGAAAAGTTATTTGTAAGCCTGTTTTAAATCCGATTGAATCCAAGCCAACAGACTATCAATAGAGTTGGTATTTTGATATATTTTTTTTATGTTTTAATGAAATGTTCTGAATATATAGTATAGCCTGGATTAAGTTGTGTCAAATTTGATACTGTTTGAAAAATGCACACGACGATTACTTTAACCCCCCAAAAAACAGATTATGATAACTGGAATGGAAGGGATGTTTTGATTTTGTCAGCCGTCCTCATTAGCCTAGTCGGTGCAGG